GTCAGCTTACGATTCGATAAATTTCAAATAGATTCAGTAAAAAATAAAGGCTAAATCATGGCTGTGATACTAAAAGTCGTTGTTAAACCACTTCTTGTGCAAAGTGAATATGAAACACAAACATTTTCATAATCAAAACAGTGAAAATGTGAAATATGTTGGATAAAAAAAGCAACAAAACTGCAGCACTGTAACGAAATAATTTAGTAAAATATACCCCCCCAAAAAAAAACTCTTACACCTCTGCTTGTGTGCCAGTCTGTTCTGATCATTATTTATGATAGAAATCTGGTTTTATTGGAGTTTAGGTTCACCTAGACAACAGAATCACGTGACCTGAATGTAGTGAGTGAATGAGTGCACTGTAGAGGGCGCTAAAGAGTATGGGCCTATGTAGTGAATCAGGGAGTTAGGGACTAGGGTGGACATTCAGACACAGCCTACATGTTGTGAGCAATAGGCCTGTCACGATAAAACATTCTGAATTGGTAACTACAGACAATAAACTATAATACTGAAACTGATTTATGCCACTGAAACAGCAAATTTAAACCACAAAAACTACTTTAAATGTACAAGACAGATTAAAAAAACATGAACTGAAAGACAAATAGCAGAATGATTCACTTTCATACCTTCATAGCATGTATCTGTAATGAGTCACAGAAGCCATAAATTTGACTTTTACGGCTCAAATCTGATCATATAGTCAAAGAATTTAAAAAAAAATTCCAGTAGTGCAAATGAAACATACACACAAACACAAAAATATTGACCTAAAAATAAAAAATTACTGTTCCACCAATGAAACTTTGTGAACGATAACGCAAAGTTGAGGACACAAAAACAGCAAAATAAAGAAAAACTTTGCATTAATTGTTATTTTTGGGAGTAGATACACACCAGACTCTTGCATTTTTTTATTTTTTTATTGCAGTTTTTGCCTTTTGTTTTTATTATATTACATTGTGATGCGCGAGCTACTGTGTCCAAATTATTTTCCTTGTGTCAAAGTCTGTGTCTATCTCTATTTGTTTGCAGCGCTGGGGAGTTAAACCCGGGCTTTCCCCTTTGAAAGTTCGGAAACAGGCTTGGAAACTCATGACAGTGAAGGAAGAAGGATGTCAGGAATGCATTACAAAAGTGAGGAATCGACTTTGAACTGTGTGAAACTAATTAGTTCGACTTGACACATTTTTAAAAGATGGTAAAGATCTGGTAAGAATGGTTTTGAATTAGAGTTCCTGTATGACACAAAATGGTTTCTTGAGAGTTTTAAGCCATGTAAAACGCTGCTACTTCATCAAAACAAAACAAAACTCCAGGTATGTTTGCGATAAAGAAACAACGTCAGAACATAGATTTGAAAACGTGCCCTTTAAATATGAACAAAATCTGAGCCAAGAGGAGCATTTTAGTCCAAAGATGCGATATTTAATTCATTAAAACAAACCTGCAGTTGGATATTTCACCATTTTTAGCTTCATGAATTGGTCGACTGTTGTTATTCACTACATTTACTTTATGAAAATAATAGCAACCCTGTAACTACAAAAGAATGGATTGGGGAAGGATGTGGTAGATCAAAATTTACTATTCAAATGTTCACGCTGTACACTGTGTGCGATACTGTTTATCTTTTTTGATTATCTGGGCAGCTCCAGCAACAAACAAAACTAAATTCAAATGGATACGAAAGGATCCGTGAGAAGTAGTACAGAAGTCAGATTTGCATATGAGAGGAAATGGCACACATCACTGAAATGAAACTGTATTTTCTGGGCGATTTGCTGCACAATTTTACAAAGATAACTGACCGTACTGCCCTGGTTGGTTTAAAAGGTTTTGTATTACGCAAAATTGTCTCTCGTGACCTTTAAGCCACATTCCAAGTGTTCAAAAACATACCTGGAGTTTGACTGCGATTTCGATGTGTGTGTCAAACGATCTCCAAACTCACATAATCGAGTTGACTTTGGGGTGTTTTTTTAATATAAATAAGTATATATCCAGCTGTTCTACAATCTCTATATTTAAAAATTAAAATAAATATAGTTTATTTTGGATACATTTATGTTTTTCTATGCCTTATTTCATGTTCCAAGTGTATTTTACTCAGTTTTATACATCACAAAAGTGCTCTAAGTTACATATTTGCAGCCTATATTTATTTTCAATTTGAAAGTTTTGCATAAATCAGGGGTGTCCAAACTTTTTTCATCAAGGGCCACATATCTAAACTCATTCAAAGCAGAGGGCTGATCGAGGGCCGTAGACTGGAGCTCAATACAGTGAATAATTCAAATATGTGCATGTTTAACATGTTACAATGAGCCATCAGTCTTTTATTCATGCTAAGATCCTTAAAACCACACACTAAATATTAAATACTGGCTTTATCAAGGTAGATTTTCAAACAAACTTGCAGTAAAAAGTTTGTTTTTAATTGATGCAAGGTAACGTGGGCCAATTCACCTGGAAGCCTGAGGGCCAATAAAAATGTGTCTGAGGGCCATAGTTTGGACATGCCTGGTGTAAATGATCAATAAGAAAGTGTTTTTTGTTTTGTTTTTTTGAGAGAGAGAGAGAGAGAGAGAGAAATGCTGACAAAAAAAATAACCATTTGAATCATCGTGATTTCAAAATTGAGTATTGTGTTTTGTTTCGTCCACATGTTTGAGTAACACTTTATTATGAGTCTGTTTACATCTCCAAAGCTCAAAATGCTCTTTTCCACCTTGTGATGTCATGAAGCAGTAGTTTTCAAGTTAATAAACACCTTTTACCTTTTTTTTTTTAGTAGAGATTGGCAAGTCCGGGGCTGAGATCATCCAAATGATTCTAGTGAAGGTGTATAGAGTTTAAAAACACAGTGGAGCATAGCGTTTTCTGTGCGTTATACATGTCTGAACGAAACAAAACAAGACAAAACTGCAGGTACGTTTGTGATGAGGAAACAAGATTATAACATAGATCAGAATATAGCGTAAACGGGCCCTTTAAATGTCTGACTATAATTGTAGCTCATTGTGAAGGCTGGATCATTGCCTTCCTTTAAAATGACCACACACCATTTCGGACTAAACTGGATTTAAGAGCTTCTCTGAGCACAACGAGGCCAAATGATAAGTTATGCCACTGAAATCATACTTATTTCAATGACGGCACAAACAGGTCTGGAAATGAGAGGAATTCTAACCAGCTGCATTTAGAAAAACCTTGCTTAGTTGGAGTTGATCCCCCGCAGGAGATTATACGGACTTTTCTGACTAAAAAGAAGCGAAGACCGTGAGGTTAGATGTGAGGTCAAAAGGTCAAAAGTGCCAAAAGTGCCTGTAACACAAAGCATGAGCAGCGACCAGGAAGACAAGATAGTAATAACCAGGCCAAACAGGCTCCAGTTCATCCCGAGTAAATGCAGGGATTAAAGTATTTAAAGTGTAAAAACTGACATCACTCTCCACACGTACGTCTATGTATAATTACACATCTTTGGTCGGTGATAGATGGGCTGTAACTCCTGGCGTGCAAGAAGCCAATTAATTACCATTACTAACTTAAAGCAAACCCAGTAGTACCTTATGTGGAGAGTTACAATTCTACTTTTAAAGGTCACATATTACACAAAATTGACTCTTGTGATCTCTAAAGTGCGTTATTATGCCGTTGTTTCATTCACACGTGCTTGAGTAATCTGGGTTTATTAGTCTGTCTACACCTCCAAAGCTCAAAATGCTCAGTTCCACCTTGTGATGTCATGAAGCGGTACTTTTCAAGTTAACACGTACTTCATTTCAGCTTTTGTTAAGTAGAAATTGGCAATTCCACGGCTGAAATCATCCAAATTATTCAAGAGAAAACAGTGGACAGAGTTTTTTGTTTGAGAAAAACTCCTAAATATGCAGAATATGTGTGTTAAACATGTGTGGATTAACGAAAACACAACTCCAGGTCTGTTTTCGACAAGGAAATAAGATTATAACAGTGTAACATGGGGCCCTTTAATATGTGTGTAAATATAGGGGCATTGGACGCTTTGCAAATGTGGTTTCCAATATTTTGTTTAGCGTTGCCACTAGATTTGCAATTAAATACTGTAACTTCATGTGTAACGCCAACGCATATCCAAATATAAAATCCCCATGGATCACACTGGGAAAGTCACAGTATGATTAAATGTTTCCCATTAATACATGAGAGTATACACTAGATTTGCAATTAAATACTGTAACTTCATGTGTAACGCCAACGCATATCCAAATCTAAAATCCCCTTGGATCACACTGGGAAAGTTACAGCATGATTAAATGTTTCCCATTAATACAAGAGACTATGATGCCCCTCATAGTTTAAAATACCCCACAAAATAACTATTTGTTGCTCAGTGTGCTATCATAAACATTTAAAAGTAACTATACTGGGACATGTGTACAAAAATGACTACTTTAAGATAAAATAAATGATTAAATATAAGCAATAAACTCCATTTATTCACTACACGTTGTATAAAAATGGAAATGATTAAAATCGAAATTACTTCTGCAACCCTAGTCTCCCCAGAACCTGTGGGAAACACGGTGATTAAGGTTTAGAAGAAAATATATAGGTCAAGTGGCTCCCATAAAAAAGTTTTTGTAACCATTAGTGAAGCCAACACAGGGAGCTCCTCTACTTTGTTCAGAACATTCCCATTCCGTGCGTAAAGTTGATCAAATACATGAAACCCAATAGTTAAAAGTTCCATAAACGCATTCAGGAATAAAAATCCAAAATTCCTACAATGCCCCACGCAGTCCACGTACTTTAAAAAACCTTACAAGAGTCTGAGGGTTTCAGCCTAGCGCCATAATTTTGTCACACTTTCTCTGGAGTCGAGCGTGCTAGCGCGTTAGCCACCGAGTGCTAAGTTGTGTTGTGTAGGATTGTTTTCGTCTCGAGAACAATTGCAGCGCGTCAAACCTAAAACTTTAATCTGTTTGTACATGCAGTCGTGCACTTACCCGAATCTGCCGGGGTTTTCATCTTTCTCGCTTTCTTCGTCCGCTCGCTTCAGGCACTTTTCCCCTCCGAGGTCTGGATCGGTAACTTTAGTTTGCGCTCTAGCTGCTACTAGCCGCGGCACCGTGCGTCCTCCTCCTCCTCCTCCTCGCTGCCTTTGAAAACTACCACTTTGTAACAACTAACTCAGCGTGGGAGTTCCTTTTACCACCAGCGCACATCCACGCGTGTTTGGAAAAGTTTTACGCAGCGGCACTGGCTCGTGGGAGAGGGGCGTGTGGCGAGAAAAGTTGTCCGGGGGGAAGTCCACTCGTTGGGGTTTGAATGGCGCTGGGAGGTGGGCGAAGTTTGGGTCTGTTTTGGAGCAGCGGAATGCAGCCAGTCTACGCGTCCGTCCACTTTGTTGTAGCGATGTCGCATGGTCGCTCCATCCGCCTCAACATCCTCCTCTTCTCCGGCTGCAAACACCGAGAAAGCTCCGCGCAAATGAACAAAAGTGCCCGAACCAAGTCGCCAACTCCGCTTTCTCCGCAAGACTTTTCTTTTTCCACTCTCTCCTCGCGGTGTCGACCCCCCTTCTCTCTGCGCGCTCCGCCGGGGTGTCGTGTTTCTCTCTCCTCCTGCCACACGGGGCCGCCCACGCTGACCCACGGAGGGAGGGAGGGAGGAAAAGAGGAACCAAACGCCCACTTGTTGCCAGAGATCGTCTATGTTTTTTTGGAAGATTGCATTTACTTTTAATCAATGCTGGTGGGCACAGAGGCCACGAGGAGCAGCCTATAAAACAATTCGGGGTCAGGTCTGTGCTGCAGGAACCGGCGCGAGTTATCTGTGCGTAAAGTCTGTGCGCAAACGTGTAGGGTGACCAGCGTTTCAAAATAAAAACTGGGACGTCTTCGGGTTTTTTTGGTGGCTGGTAATAATAAAATTGTGAAACGAGCGCGTAATTATGGAAAATTGTTATGCAGAGACCATTCATCACTAACATGTGAGTCAGTATAGTCACATTTTCTTTGTGTTTTTGGTCATTTTTAAGCAGCTTTTCTGTATTTTACCTAAACAAATGACAATTTTTGCCTCTCTTTACTGTTGGCAGGTGTCAGATTGGTTAAAAATAAGGACACGTGGGACATTTCTTGTATAAAGTTGGAACAAATCGGTGGTTTTGGATAAATCTGCTGCGACAGGGGACACAGGGCTCAAAACTGAGATTGTCCCGGGTAAATAGGAACGTGTGGTCAACCTGTAAAACTGACACTATGAATTTTTGAAAGAAAAAAATGGGAAATGTATAAACACTCAGTTATATTTATTTGAATTAATTATTTACTTGTTCAAGTTTACACTACTCAATTTTGTTCATTAAGGAAAATACAATAATCAGAAATACTTTTACTTTTCAGTCCAGTTCAAAAATGTAGTGGAGCAGAAAGTACAGACACCATAAAGTAAAAGTAAAAAGTATCCAGTCCAGCTATACCTACTTAAGTAAAGTACAGATACTTTTTTTTTTTATACTTAAGAGCAGTACTCTACTACTTTTACTTCATTACGTTCCACTACTGGATATTTGTATGACATACAGTAATGCTTAATTTCCTGCTGGATTATTTAATTTAAAAATGCACTCTAACATTTCTAACAGAGGGTGAGCCACTTGCTTGTCTCCATGGAAATGTCTAGAATGTTCCAAAGTATTGATTAAACCTAACTATCACCAGGCAGACGCGCAGGTTACAGCAATACACTGCAAAAAACGTCCAGCCAAGTTCAAATGATTTGGATTAAGAAAGTTTTATCATGATTTAAGTAAATTTCGCTTTTTCTGGTTCAGTCTTGGTTCAGTCCTGGTTTAGATCTGGTTCAGACCTGGTTTAGTCCTGTTTTAGGCCTGGTTCAGACCTGGTTTAGTCCTGTTTTAGGCCTGGTTTACACCTGGTTTAGTCCTGTTCTAGTCCTGGTTTAGCTCTGATTCAGTCCTGATTCAGTCCTGGTTTAGACCTGGTTTAGTCCTAGTTCAGTCCTGGTTTAGACCTGGTTTAGTCCTGTTCTAGTCCTGGTTCAGTCCTGTTTTAGTCCTGGTTCAGTCCTGGTTTAGTCCTGTTTTAGTTCTGGTTTATTCCAGTTTTAGTTCTGGTTTAGCCCTGGTTCAGTAAAATTATCTTTTTTTGTACTTAAAATATGAAAATGCCTCTTGCTACACTTGAAATAAGAAAATCAACAACTTTTTGCCCCTATTCACTAAAGGAATTATTATATTTTTGAGCAACAGAGCACATTCCAGACAAAGCAATAACATCTCCATGGAGAAAAGTTGCACAGTGCACCTTTAAGCTTAGCTTCAGTTTAAGGAACATGATGAAGATTTTGAGACTTTTTAAACACAGATAAGTTTCCCTTTTCCCTTATTATTACAAGTACTGTGGGTACATATCAATATATACAGTAAACAACTTTACTCAACACAACCTCAACCCTGAAGGCCTATTCCATGGGGGCATTCGGAAAGAACAGAAAACTTAGACAAACTTGATCCTCGAGGGAAATTATTTGGACACAGTAGCACACATATCACAATATAATATGAGACAAAGTACATCAATAAGTAGCAAAAATAACAAGAGATTGATTTCAAATAGGCATAATTATATAAATGTATGTACAAGTAAAAATAAATCCATTAATTTTCTTCTGCTTATCCGGGGCCGTCGTGGGGGCAGCAGTCTAAGCAGGGACTCCCAGACTTCCTTCACCCCGGACACTTCCTCCAGCTCCTCCAGGCCAACCCAGAGACATAGTCCCTCCTGCGTGTCCTGGGTCTTCCCCGGTGGGTCATTCCTGGAACACTTCCCGAGGGAGACGCCCTGGACCCAGGAGGCAGTGGGAATGCCTGATCCACCTCAAATGGCTCCTCTTGACGTGGAGGAGCAGCAGTTCTACTCCGAGCTCCTCCCATGTGACTGAGCTCCTCACCCTATCTCTAAGGGAGCGCCCAACCACCCTGTGGAGGAAACTCATTCCGGCCGCTTGTGTCCGCGATCTTGTCCTTTCGGTCATTACCCAGAGCTCATGATCATAGGTAAGGCTAGAAACGTAGACTGACCAGTAAATCGAGAGCTTTACCTTTCGACTCAGCTCCCTTTTCATCACAACGGTCCGACACAGCGACTGCATCACTGCCGACGCTGCACCGATCCGCCTGTCAATCTCACGCGTCACGTGTAGGAGTAAAAAATTTTAAAATAATGAAAATATTTAGGCTACAGGTAGGATTTATTGTATCGTATAAGAGCTATCATGTTACATTATGGCCTTAAGAATAGTCCTCTGTAAACTGGATGTATTTTTGGTGGTATTATAAAATCCTGCACAGATGGCAGTCAGTGAAGCATATCCGTCTAAAATCTGTGGATAATCTCAAAGACACATATGGGATTTTACGCAAGATGTAAATTACCTTTGTGTTTCAATAACCATATAATAAAAACAGAGGAAGGAAGGAGGCTGTAATGTGAATAATTTATTCAAAAGTCTATAGTCTAGTTTCGTTTTTTAACACATAAAAAAAGTAAGAAACTACAGGGTCGGACCGGATTCTTGGTGAGACGTCTGAACATGTCTGATTCAGATGTAAATAATTTTGAAATGACAAAATGCAGGATGTAACAAGAGAACTGAAATTAAAAATGATATCACTGATCTCACATGTCGAGCAGAATACGTCATTTTGTTATAAAACAATCTAAAAAAATTGATGGTTTTCCAGATTAACTTTTATTTTTACTAATTTATTGTGGTACGATTTTCATTCACGAGTATTTTTATCCTTTTAACTACAACGCAAGGTGGATAAAGTGTCTTGTGTAATTTTTCTATTCTGCTCATGTCAGATAATGTTCCTTTGCGTATAATTGCATCTAATGTTCTAAAGTATACCTATTTCTTCTCATTTTTACTCAGAAAATACCTTGAAAAACCGCATTCTTACTCTTTGTAGGTTCACCTCTCCACAGATCTGACTTGTAACTTGGCCTGGTCTCCATGGAGATAGATTAGTCTGAGGAAACAAACAGCAGCCGTGCCAAAAGACTCTTGACAAACTGCTTTTTTTTTTTTTTTTTCAATTTAACGGTACAAAAGTTGATATTGCTTTTACACTAAAGACAAGCCCAAACTTTTTCCATTACAGATCTGTGCCTGATCTTAACACTGGGCCTACGGCAACAAACTCATGGACAAACTTGATCAAATAACGCAGGCTGCATGTCGACCGTTAAATAGGTGTTGTGTTTGTGACATGTTTTAAACTGCTAATTCTCCAGTGTAAGCGGAGAAGAGCAAAGACAACACACAACAAGACACAACACCTCTTAGCAAATTATTAGAAATGTTTTGGAGATTAAATTTACAATCTTTGACGTTCTAATATATGTGCAAAAATTTAAATGAGTTTCACATTTAATCAAACTAAACCACCGCTTATTAAAAGTGTAATTAAAAATGCGATGTGTAACTTTCATAGTGGAAGGTCACCTTTTTGTCTACTGCTGAAATGTCCCATAGCGTGGCATTAAACATCTGTAACCACGGAGTATGGCAGGTGACGCTACTGGGCCAAGTTACAGGTCAGATCTGTGAAAAGGGGACCAAGCTTTGAGTAAGAATTTATGTTTTTCCAAGACAATAAAATCTTGTATAATTGACTAAATACATAAAATTTCATGCAATATTGTGGAACATTTCATGCAAAGCAATAACTTCTCCATGGAGACAAGCAGGTGAAGGACCCTCACCCCAAAATGTTACACAGTGCACCTTTAAATCACATATAAAGTTGCTATAAATGATGAATGCAAGAGAATGGACAGCTGTATTATTATGTTTGTTTCACTGTTGCTGCAGAAAATTGAATTTCCTTTGGTAAAATATTATCTATCTGTCAATCTGTCTGTTTGCTTATCTATCTCTGTCTGTCTATCTATCCATCCATTTATTTATCCATTTATCTATCATCCATCCATCCATCCATTTATTTATTTATCTGTCAATCTATCTGTCTATCTTTCTATCTGCTTATGTGTCTGTCTGTCCACCTATTTGTTTATCTGTCTGTCTATCCATGCTGCCCATCTATATCTGTCTTTCTATGTATTTGTTTATCTATCTATCTCTCCATCTATCTATCTATCTATCTGTTTATCTTTCTTTCTATCCATCTATTGATCTATCCATCTATATCTGTCTATCTATCTATCTGTCTATCTATCTATAAATATCTATCTCTAAATATCTATGTCTCTAAATATGTCTATCTATCTACCTATCTGTTTATCTATCTTTCTTTCTATCCATCTATTGATCTATCCATCTATATCTGTCTGTCTATCTATCTATCTATCTATCTATCTATCTATCTGTGTAGTGTAAAGCATAAACAAATAAAAACAGTGACATGTTTGTTCTTCCATCTTGACTCTCTGTGTCTGTGTCTTTCTTGTGGAGCAGATCTTGTTGTTCTTCTCATCCTCATCGTCTCTTGTCACGTGTTTCATTAGGCGGGTAAATATTTTGCTGTGTCCCTGGTCGCGTTATGAAGCGCGTCCCCCGGGGCTGAATGACACAGTGACGTAACGGCGTGGCG